ATCATCATCATCATCCTCATCCTCCAGTAGTTTTGTTGTTGTTATTATATTTTAGGTAAGACTTGGGAGAAGCTTATGGCTGCTGCCCGTGTTATGGTTACCATTGAGAACCCTAAAGATATTATGGTTGTATCACAGCGTCCTTATGGTTCTCGTGCTGTTCTTAAGCTTGCTAACTTTATTGGTGCTACTGCTGTTGCTGGACGTTGGACTCCTGGTTCCCTTACTAATCAGATAACTCCTAAGTTCACTGAGCCTCGTCTATTGATTGTTACTGATCCTCGTACCGATTCTCAAGCTATAAAGGAGGCTGCCTATGCTAACATACCTGTTATTGCTTTATGTGATACCGATTCCCCTCTTGATTTCGTAGATATTGCCATACCATGCAATAATAAGGGTAAAGAGAGTATTGCTCTTCTTTATTATCTACTTGCTCGTGAGGTATTGATGCTACGTGGTAAGATCCCTCGTGGTGTTGAATGGGAAGTTATGGTTGATTCCTTCTTCTGGAGAGATCCTGAAGAGATCGAACGTCAAGAGCGTATGGCTGCTGAGGCTGCTGCCTATGAGGCTTCTAAGAACACTATGGTCGAGGCTACTGGTATGGCTGCTGCTACTGCTACTACTGGTGTTGAGGGTACTGCTGCTAATGCTGCTTACTTCGAGGAAGGTGAGGAATGGACTGGAGCTACTGGTGGTGATTGGGCTGCTGCCAGTGCTGATCAATGGTAAATGATGTAGTAGTAGTAGTTGATATACAACGGCGGCTTGTGATCCCAAGGCTATTTCATCATCATCTTAACCGTATTGAGTTATTATTGTAATGATCTAAGTGATGAGGGGAAGGATGTATTACCATTGTAGGGGATGCTTACTCTTCATCAGTAGGGGTATTATATTATAGGGGAAGGATGTATTACCATTTGTAGGGGATGCTTACTCTTCATCAGTAGGGGTATTATATTTATAGGGGAAGGATGTATTACCATTGTAGGGGA